CCGCGTTGATGAAGCTTGCTTCTCCGCTGTGCATGTGCCGGTGTTTTGATTCTTACATTTTGGCCTTTTTCTCAATATACCCCGATGTAATTCTCTTTGTGTTTATTTGTCTTGTGTTACTGCTCTCTCTTGCGAGTGCGTGTTGGATTGATATCCCCTCATCGCCAAAAGTTTGACAGCGAAGCTCTGCAGACAAACTACTTTTGTAACTTTCCATTACTCTCCTTGCTACTAGAGATGTCTTGTGTGTTTGTCTGCAGATGTCTTTCCATCAAATGATGAGGTTTTGTGTATATCTCCTTGAGTATGTCTGTTCCCGAGGTCCCTTACGCCCGATCCTCTGTCCAACCCTCCTACATCCCCGTTTCCCTTGCCCTTCATTCCCACACCTCGACGCTGCATCGCCGCCGCACCCCGCCTCGCCGTGGCTTGCCCGCTTGGCGCGCTGCACAGGCGACCTCTTGGTGTGCATGATGATTGTGGTTCGAGGCTGCAACGGGGGTAGTGCTGTGTTTGCTGGACACGAACCGGCAATATGTGGATATGACTCGCTCATTCGCCACGCCCCTCCGACTCCTGTTTTGGCTCACCAGCCCACTTCTGGCTTTGTATGCTTTGCACCCGTTGCTTGTGGCTGCGTGTTTGGGGGTCAAGAGGAGGGGTTGATGTGCTGATTGGTAACAAGCGTTGTGCTTTCCTCCTGTTTTCCTTTCTTCCAGTGCTTTCTGAGAGGGCCGCGTTGGGAGAGATAAGGAAGACATGTTGACGTTGAAAGCCGACATTTTTGTGTTTGTTTGTACGGGTGGAAGCATCCTCGTCCCTCTGGATGAAGGGTTGGTTTCTGCTGTGTTCTTTCTTTAGAACCGCCGCTTGAGTTGATCCTGGAGGCGCTTGCGCCCGGGACCTGTTATTGCAGGCGCTTTTTCTGGGATGGTGGTGGTTGCTGGATAGCCCGAAGGAACCCCACTCGAGTGGTGTGTCTGTGGGTGTGAAAAATGAGGGAGAGATGGTCCCGCCGCATGACGGGCCAACGGTAGAAATTTCAAATATCCTCCCTTATCCTGTTACTGCACAGTCATGTTTGAAGTTGTTTTCCCACTTGCTCAACCAGCAACACCCACTCTCATTCTGTATCTTGCTCAAATGCCTATTAACCGGGCGAGCATCTTAAGTAGATTAGATAGATTATCAATGCAAAGCATCCGATCTCGACATTGGCCTTCGAAAAGTGATTGCTTGTATCTGTTGGTTGAGCAGTCAAGTGTCCGAGAGTGATGTGGCTGCACGTGGCTGGCTGGACCCTGGCCAAAGCTCCGCGGCAATGACGATGACCGCCGAGCTCAAGGCGCATCCCAGGCACCCATGGAGCTTGCAGTAACCGTCGCATAGCGACATAACCATGGCCAAATGAAGTCGCAGTCGATACAATAGCCACAATGCTGTCTGCATTCACCGCCCGACCCATCGTCGAGCTCAAGCAGCGCGACAAGTCGAAGATCGAGTCCATCCTCGCATATGGTACAGCGCCAGCCTGCAGCATCTGCCCAGCTTACTAACACAACCAGGCGACCGCGTGCTCGTAGGCTTGAACACAGGCGCCCTACGCATCTACCGCGTAAACGACCAGATTGAGGATGTAGACGCCGACCGCAAGCAGAACGGCGACCCGAACGGCGAAAGCGAAGCGCCTGCCACGCCAAAAGCCAGACCCGCCGACCTTCTACGCGAAGAGGAGAAGTTCTCCCGACGCCCGATACAACAGCTGGCGATTATCAAGGAAGCGAATATCCTTGTCTCGCTGTCAGACAACTATGTCTCGATCCACGACATTCAGACGTACCAGTTGCAGGAGAAGCTTGAGAAGACACGGGGTGCGACTACGTTCGCTGCGGCAAGCAACATCGTCAAGGACCCCTCGACTGGCATTCCGTCCATCGTGAGCCACCTGGCTGTCGCCGTGAAGCGGAAGATCATACTGTGGACATGGCAGGACATGGAGCTGACGGGCGACGCGGTGGAGATCTCGCTCATTGCGTCCGTCAAGAGCCTGACATGGGCGACAGGCACCAAGATAGTCGCTGGCATGGACCCCGGCTTCGTGATGGTCAACATCGAGACGCAGGAGGTGCAGGACATCATCAAGCCAGGCGCGTTGGCTGAGAACGGGAGTCAGGGCGGAGCACGCTTCGGCGCTGTTTCGTCATCAGGCATGGGATACATGGGCATGGGTAGTTGGGTGCCGAAGCCGCTCGCGACACGACTTGGAGAGGGCGAGATGCTGTTGGCGAAAGACGTCAACAGCCTGTTCATCGATACGGACGGGAATGTCCTCGAGAAGCGACAAGTACCCTGGCACTCCGCTCCCGAGACCATCGCATATTCGTACCCATATATGCTCACGCTGCTACCCCCTTCGAAGGGCAGCCTGGAAGTCAGGAATCCGGATACCCTGAGCCTGCTACAAACAATCGCACTGCCCAATGTCAGCTTCCTCCACGTACCGCAGCCGAATATCAGCTTAGCCCATGCCGGAAAGGGTTTCCTCGTCGCGAGCGATCGATCGATATGGCGCATGGGAGCGCAGAGCTACGAGACACAGATTGATGAGCTGGTCGCTCATGGGCGTTACGACGAGTCGCTCAGTCTCCTCAACATGCTGGAAGATACTCTGCTTCTTGACAAGGAGGAGAGGGTGCGGGAGATACAGATACTGAAGGCGCAGGCCTTGTTCGACCGGAGGAAGTATCGCGAGGCGATGGAGCTGTTTGTCGACGCAAAGGCCCCGCCCGAGCGCGTCATCGCAATGTACCCCAGGTCTATCGCTGGTAACCTGGCACCAGAGGAGAGCGTCAAGGGTGATGGAAGCGTAGCGGATGAGGAAGAAGCAAATGGAGAGAAACCAACGAAAGAACAGGAGGAAAGCACACCCGCTCCTGTTGCTACGATCGGGCGGTCGATGATGGGCCGGTTTGGAGTTGGAGGCCACAAAAAGGTCGATTCAGACGCTGCATCTATTCGCACCAACTCTGCCAAAGACGATACTATGGAACCAGCGAGCGTAAAGAAGAGGCCAACCGACCCCTTCCAGCCCGACAAAGCGGCCGCGGAGAAAGAGTTCAAAGACTCTGTTCGAGCTCTGCAGTCTTTCCTCACGCAATGTCGCGTCCAGATAAAGCGCTACATCGACACGGACGGTAACCTCAAAGAACCCCTCCCCACACCTAGCGGCAGCCAACTCGAAGCCGAAAAGCCACCCTTCCACATCTTCATCGAACAATCCTCACTCCAATCTCCCGTCGATTGGAAAGCAAAACTGCTCGAAGTCGCTCAACTCGTCGACACAACCCTCTTCCGCGCGTACATGATCGCCAACCCCAGCGTAGCCGGCTCCCTCTTCCGGCTCCCCAACTTCTGCGAACCAGACGTCGTGCAAGAGAAGCTCTACGAAACAGGTCGCTACGCCGATCTAATCGACTTCCTCCACGGCAAGAAACTGCATCGCCAGGCCCTAGAACTACTCGAGAAATTCGGCAAGAACGAAGCCGACGAAGAAGTGTCACCTGCACTGCAAGGACCGCAAAGGACGGTGGGGTATTTACAGGCTTTACCTCCCGAACTCATCGACCTCATCCTCGAATACGCAGAATGGCCCCTCCGCACCGACCCCAACCTCGGCATGGAAATCTTCCTCGCCGACACCGAAAACGCCGAAACCCTGCCTCGCGACCGCGTTCTCGAGTTTCTGCAAAACATTGATTTGAAACTGGCGGTTCGGTATCTCGAACACATCATCGAGGAGCTGAATGACCTGAATGTGGATTTCCACCAGAGGCTTGTGGATTTGCTGTTGGAGAGGTTGAAAGGAGACAAGGGGGAAGGGGAGGGACAGGGAAAGTTTGAGAGTGAGGAGGAGAAGAGGGATTGGAAGGAGAGGTTGGAGGTGTTTTTGAAAAAGGGGAATGCGCAGTATAATCGGTATAGGGTGTTTCAGCAGCTTCCTGCGAATGGTATGTTGGTTACTGATACTGATATGAGGGGAAGGTTGAAATATGGAGTTGTTTTTGCTAACGAGAGGTACAGATCCGGATTACTACGAAGCGAGAGCTATTGTGCTGAGTAAAATGGGGAGTCACAAGCAGGCATTAGCGATTTACGTGTTCCAGTTGAAGGATTACCAGAAAGCTGAGGAGTACGTCCCTTCCTTTCCTTTCCACTCCCCTTCCCCTCCACCACTCCACTCTTAAGAAACAACCAACTAACACATCACACCACGCAGATACTGCAACCAAGTCTACACCGCACCCCCCACCTCCACCACCTCCCCCTCCCCTCCCTCACGCCCCCACTCCCCCCTCACAACCCGCGGCACAATCGAAGACACCGACCTCTCAATCTACCACGTCCTCCTCTCCCTCTACCTCCAACCCCCACCCCCCCACCCCCCAAACTGGCCCCCGGCCTTATCCCTCCTGTCAAAACACGGCGCCCGCCTCCCCGCCGCCACGACCCTCGATCTCATCCCCCCTTCTCTCCCCGTTAAGGACCTAGAATCTTATTTCTTCGGGAGAATCCGGAATGCGAATTCGCTGTTGAATGAAGAGAGGATCACAGCGAGGTTGAGGGGCGTGGAGAAGGTGTGTGTGGAGGCGGCGGTGCTGTTGGGGGGCGAGGAGAAGAGGGATGCGTATGGCAGGTTGGTGCCGGGCGGGTTGAACAGGAGGGTGGTGATTGATGAGGAGAGGCATTGTGCGGTTTGTCATAAGAGGTTTGGGGGGAGTGCGATTAGGGTGTTTCCGGATAATGGGGTTGTGCATAGTGGGTGTGCTAGGGGGGGTGTTGGTGTTGGTGGTGGTGGTGGGTTTGGAGGGAGTACGGGGAGGAGGACGGGGGGTGCGGGGTGGCGGTAGGTTTGGTCTTGTCGTGTGGTATAGTATAGCCCAGAAGAGGTTGTCGTTAAAATGTATATCCGTCAAGAATGCGCTTCTTCATGCAAGAGACTCTCAGTCTTCATCAACGACTTCCTCGCCATATGTCTCCTCGTCTTTTGCGTCGTCGGCGGCTTTGTCGTCGGCCATTTTTTGCGTTAGGAATGCGTTTACGTCTGCCTGGAGGGTCTTGAGGGACGAGGAGAGGGCATCGAGATATGCGACGCGATCGGTGGTTGTGGGTGGTGAGGCGAGTGCGGGGAGTTCGGAGGTGAAGGTTTGGGGGTCCGAGGTCGGGGATGTGTAGGTCGCTGTTAGAGAGGGCATGTTGGGTGGTGAGTTCCAGCGGGTGGTATCTTCTGAGTAGGGGTGGATATGTTATTGGTGTATTGAGTGTTGGAGTGAAGGAGTTAGTTAATTGAAGATAGGCGGGGTCAAGCGGCTCGGGGTGGAGACAGCACGGCCACGCGACGTCGATCCATCAACGGTGCATGTAACAGTGGCAGTGACACCTCCACCTGCGCTTGGATAACGCTGTATCTGCTACTATCTCCATGCAGGCCATGCGGGAATACGACTAGACACGAGTTTCTGCTTCCCTCGTCCCCACATTCACTTTCCATCCGTCCCGTGTGTTTGGCCAGGCCTACAGCCACCGCCTCTACACCCTGTCCCTGCAAACAGCCACACTGTCGCAAAAGCAACCCACGCGGTAATACGAGAGGGCCTGCAGTGCGACGGCCCACGATGGCGCCCTCTTCACCCCCTCCCCAGACGCCATCCATCCACACGCCCTCGATTCACCGCCCCTCGCTCGACGACTCCGACTCGGACGGCTCCCACGCCACGCTGCAGCAGCAACAACAACAACAACAACAGCGCCGCTCTCCCCTGCCCACCTCGATACTCTCGCCCTCGTCCGCAAAGTCGCCGACGTCAGCAGACTCGCGCGGCGCCCCAGCGCAAAACTACTCGCGTCCCGGCATTGTGCGCGATGCAACACAGAGCCAGAGTCACATTGGCGCGCATCTAGGACACCGCCCCCGCCAGCGCTCCCAGGGCTACTTCGAGCCCAGTCTGAGTTCCATGAAGGAGGGCTCTATACGGGACCGCGACAATACCATGGCCTCGCAGACCCATCTTACCGCCTCGCAGATCGCCGCCCAGGCCGCATATGCCTCGAACCCCCAGCACAATCGCAAGCGCTCCACCACGATACCCGCTCCGAACGAAGCTGCGCCTGCAGGACGGGGCCAGCCCATGAGTCCGCCGCCTGTGCCGGCGCAGGTCACGTTTAGGACGAATGGCATTACGTACTCGAATGGTGTCGGGGGAGGCAGGATGGCCGCCACGAGCGCTGCGAACGCGGCGTTTCCACGGAGTCCGCTCAACTCGCCTGGCATTGAAGGGACACAACAACCACACGCGTCGCCTAAGTTGGTGTCGACGCCCGAGCCACCGCAGCTGCAGAAGCCAAAGGAGGGGAAGAGCAGGATAGGCGGGAAGCTGTTCTCGTCCAAGCCGAAGAACATCAAGGTGGATAATAGGTTGGATGGCAAACACCAGGCGCTACCGTCGCCGGGCAAGATTGGCATCGGCATTCATAGCTCACAGGCGCTGAATCGCATGATGATGGCGGGGTCGACGACGAGCTTGGTTGATTCGGCGACAAATAGCAGTAATGCTTCCTTGTACTCTTCTGCCAACGCGTCGACATCCACGCTAGTACCTCCACGGAATGATTCTCTACCCGAGAGGAAAGAGGAGAAGCATAAACACCACTTCTTGTCACGACAGAAGAACAAGTTGAAAGACCAGGATGGCTTCGCACTGCCATTGTCGTCTGCGAGCAGTAATTCCAAGCCTACAAACCCTAGCGCACCAGAGCCGCTGTATTCCTTCGCCGCGCCTTCATCGCCAGGGCATTCAAGTAGTTTTGCAAATTCAGTAACCGGTCTAGATCTCCGGCATGGAGGACGCCATCTCCGACGAGCGAAGAAGGAAGAGAAGGCCGCCGCATTTCTAGACGCGCAACTCGAACCCCCATATCGAGAGCGGAACCAGTCGTTTAGCACCGAGCGATCAGAATGGCCGTCTCTAGCCAGCAGCATAACCACAACCCCCAACATGAGCACGCCCAGCCAAACTATCTCTCACACAACAGAGATGCTTCACCTGGGCAGCTCCTTCGGCATCAACGGCCTCTCGCCCGACGACGCCTGGCCACTCTTAAAAGCACGAGTACTCTTAATATTCGAAGGAGAAGACCCGCGACCCCCCGTCGAAGATTTCAACGCCCTAGTAACCGTGCACATAAAACGCTGCATCCACAAACGGTCCCCCATAATCCTCATCGAAGACCTAAACGAACTCCTCCAAACCGGCTTCGGCTCTCTCGACCAAACCCTCCGCCACGTCCCCGACGACCGCCTCATCCCACACCTGGTAGAAATGTGGCTCGTAGTCTTCACCACCATCCTCCCCTTCCTGCAAGCCGTCTTCCTCCCCCTCGACCTCGAGTTCAGAGGCAGCGGCATCATGACGAGTGCCCAGGCAGGCGAGTTCTGGGGCGTCATGTTGCCTGACGAGATGAATACGAAGAGTCCGGAACATAGGAATATACCTATACTTGGGGAGCTGGAGGTTAGGAGGATTACGCTGCTTATGTTTAGGGATATTGTTATTCTGCCGAGGTATGAAGCGCTTATGGCGATTTTCTCGCGGCTTAGTCTGGAGAATCTTAATGCGGGGTTGGAGAGTCCGAGTCCGATTCCGGATCATAGGCCGGGGACTGCGGGGAGTGGGTTTGGGGGCGCGGGGGAGAGACAGAGTGGAGGGGGGGAGATGGGGAGTCTGAATTCGACGAGTACGTCGAGTGCGGGCTATCTGGAGAGTACGACGAGTATGACGAGTTCGACATTCGCAAACAGCACACGCTCACGCGCAACATCGAACACATCCGCCGGCTCCTTCTCCTCAAACCCATCCTCCCACCCGCCTCCCCACTACCACCCCCAATCACTCAACCACCCTACCTCCTCCTCAAACGCCCAACACGCCCTCCACCCAACGATCTCCCACCTCCACCCACCCCCAACATCCCACGGCAACTTCACATCCAACGCCCCCTCCTCCCTCCGCCAAACCCCCATGGACAGCACCAAAGTCACCGAAACAGTCGGCCGCATGCTGCAATGCGTGTCCGTACTCGTCTCTCTACAGTCTAGCGATGATGCGCAGGAGAAAATTGGGCGCCTGAATAAGGAGTTGAAGTATAATTGGTTGGGGAGGGGGAGGACGGGGAGGCAGAGACAGGGGTTTGTGGGGCCGAGGGGAGGGACGAGGACGGGGTTGGGGATGGGTGTAGGGATGGGGAATGTTGGGGGAGGGGGTCTGAGTGTGGCTGGGGTGGGTGCGTAGGCGGAGGGGAGGATGGAAAAGGTTGGATAGGTGGTGTTGTATGTGTACGTTTTGTGTCTTGTTCTTTCTTGTGTTTGGGGGATACGTCTGCGGGTTGCGTGTGTAGACCGACGGTGGCGTTTATGCCTTTTCTTGTTGTTCCTCTTTTCCGGAATGTACGATTGCGAGATGTATACGACATCACATGTTCGACGAAACCCAATGGATATGCAAACAAGCAAACCCACAACCCTTACTTCCCACACCAACCCCTATCACCAAGGCAACTCCTCCCCATTCCTATGGAAAAACTTCCCTGTACACTCTATCCCCTTCCCCCTCAACACATCCCACAGCCCCCTCGCCGCTTCATCCGGTTCCACCGCCCCTGGCACATCTGCTCCTTCCTTGTGTCGCGGATCTAGATCCGTCTTCACAATTCCCGGATGCAGCACCAACACCACCACACCATCCTCTCTCAAATCCACACTCAAACTCTTAAACAAACTATTCACCCCTGCTTTACTCGCGCGATACGCGTACTGGCCTCCCGACGAATTATCCTTCATGCTACCCACACGACTCGACACCACTGCAATCTTCGGGGAAGACGCCTTGAGTATATTGGGCAAGAGCGCTTGCGTCAGGAGCAGCGGGCCGAAAGTGTTCACCGCAAACGTTCTCTGCAGTCCATCCAAATCAACCGTGCGGAGCGCATCGTCCTCAGGTCTTTCCATGACACCAGCGACATGGAGGACGAGGTCGAACGGTGTGTCTGCGCCGATGCACTGGGCAAAAGACTGGATTGATAAAAGGGAGGAAACGTCGAGCTGGTGGGTTTCGCAGGGAAGCGAGGTTAGGGCGGGACCGAGGGTTTGGTCTGTTGCTAGTACGGTGTAGTTCTGGATGGGGGCTTGTTAAGCTGTTGAAGGGAGAGGGGGATGGAGATGGGGGTTTTTGCTGACTTCGTTGATGAGGATTTTGGCGAGGGCGTGGCTGATGCCGGAGTTTGCGCCTGTTATGAGGGCTGTTGGCATGGTGGTTGTGATGGCAATTTTGGTGTTAGTCTGGTTGAAACTCTAGTTTAAGGAGGATGGAAGGATCTAGTGAAATCGGATATTGTTCGCTATCTAGATTTCTACGTCGAGATGATGGACGTTGTTATACATGTAGAATATGGCCTATGACGTTGATGACGTCTATCTTACAACGCAGCGATCTTGTCGTTACTACTGTATCTAGTGACCGTGAGATGAGTGTGCTAGGTGCTTCATTCGTGACATGCAAGATCACAACAATTTCAAGGCCAAGTAAAGTGGATGAATCTGTTTTGAATGGCTCGTGGTAGTCTCAATGGCCGCGCGATACCGAATCTAGCTAGTCCACACTCCAGTGTCCAGCAGCGGGGATCTTGCGACCTACCCAACAGCCCAACGCAAAAGAACCACCACTCAATGCGCAAACCGAAAGTCCAACCGCCTATTCCCCTCATCCTCCGTAGTCTCCAAATACATCTCCTTCTCCTCCCTTGTCATACCCTCCCAAACCCCATCCCTCTTCCTATTAACATTCACATAATACACCTTCGCCCCAACAAACAGCACAAAATTATACGCACAAATCGCAAGTAGGACCTTATTCCCCCTCCGATAAAGCGGCTTATCGTCGTCTCGATAAATATTCTGACTGATAATACTACTCGCCTGGACACACATATTGTACAGCGCACTCGCCACCGTGCGCGTGCGCACTGCACCAGCGTTGCGCGATGTGATGGCGACGAGGATAGCGTGGATATATGGGTGTCCGACGAGGAGGGTTGAGAGGACCCAGCGTGACCAGGGCGACGCGGTTGCAGGGAGGAGTTCCAGCGCGATGAGTAGGGGTAAGGCCCAGATCTGCGATATCAGGCCGACGACGAAGCGTTGGTTGAAGCGCTCGGATATGTAGGTCCAGAAGAGGAGTTGTAGGATGAAGAGGACGTATGCGGGGATCTGGGGTGTGTTAGTCGTAGTAAGGAGATGGGGAGATGGGAAGGGGGTGCTGACGGTGAGGAGATTGGTTTCGAAGGTGCCGAAGCCGAGGGAGCGGAGTTGGAGCGTGAGATATGCTGTTGAAGGTGTGGTTGGTATTGTCCATGATAAGCCGAGTAGGTAGATTGGCCACATGTGATAGTCCCTGAGACAGTCCCACAGCATGCGGAAGCTTAGACCTTGTCTGTTGTGCATGTCGCCTTTGCTAGGGTCATCCCTCAGTATGCGGTTGACCATGATCTTCTCTTCTCTCTCATTGAACCATCCGTCTTTTCCACGGAACGGATTCCACGCCTTACTCGCAGTCTGTGTCGGACTGGGTGGCAAGTAAAACCAAGATGCAATACCGATGCAGCCTGTCAACATACCCTCGAGAGCGAATAGCCAACGCCATCCCTCCATGCCATTGTGTCCGCGCAGACGCAAGATCCCAAAGGCGAAGAAGGCAGAGACAATCTGAGTAGACTGGTAGCTCACCCAGAACCAACTCAACCGCCCAGGTAACTCCCACCCAGTGTAGAAGTAACTCAGGTAAAGAATATTATCAGGAATAAACCCACCCTCAACCAACCCCAGCAGCGCGCGGCAAGCAAAGAACGAACTACGTCCACTCAGGAAAGCTTGAAAGCTGGCCACGAGACTCCAGCTGACCATCTGAACGGGAATCCAGTTATCGGGTCCAAGCTTCTTGCTGATGAGTTGCGAGGGTAGTTCAGCGCATAGGAAGCAGAGGTAGAAGATGGTCTGCCCGTAGTTGTAGTCGTTGGTGTTCATGCCGAGGTCGTCGAGCATGTTGTCGCTCAGGGCTTGCGATATGTTGCCTCGGTCGAGTTGGAGGGCGAAGAACATTAGGCAGGCCCAGGTGCAAATGCGCTTGTCGATCTGGGGGTAGGTCAGCGTGGGCTTCGTTGATCCTTGAAGAATGATATTGTTTACCTTGCGCACGAGACGCTTTTCTTCCGGCTTGTCCCAGACGAAGTCCGGATCGTATCGATGGATGCCTTCGTAGGAATCGACGGGCCTGTTTCGGTCTTTTCCGATGTCTGAAGATATGAAGGTCGTGCCATATCTTGTTTTGGTACCGGATGTGCTGGCTGCCGTGTCGCTGTTGTTGTCGCTTTCCGCAGTGTCGAGAATCACTTTGCTATCGACGGGGTAGTCGTCAGCAGTATCATTGGCGACCATCTTGAAACTTGAGCTGCTCTTCAAGGTCAATGAAGTACTCTCATATTGAGAATGCTATGAGGATGCGCTCTCATTATATCTGTAGGCCCTCTCTCGCTCGTTGACCCACGCGATAACCATCCCATGCGCAGAGCTTCTGGACGTGCATCGTTCAGAGGAACAGTTTCGCAATTTTGCTAGCGTTGCAACGCACAATGACCGTGTATCCACCGACTGTCAATGCATCTTCGCCATCTTTGCGCCTCTCGGTTACACTTGGATTCCGATACTGGCCGCGGAACTGACAGCGGCAATCGTGCCGCCAAATCTAACGAGCACGCAAACAGTGGATATTATTTCGCAGCGGGGTCGAGCGGTTCTGTGCAGCATATCTGGAGTTGATTCGTCATAGCTTCTTTCGATGATGGATTGCGTGATTGGCTGGGGTGTTGGCGACATAGATATGGAACACCATATCCGCCGCTACTGCAACGGTGCGTTCGGAGATAACACTGACGCCAGAGTCTTGGTATATTCGACATCGCGTGGGATGGTTCGGTTGCAAGAAGCCTTGCACAGGTCGTTGGTCTTTGCTACTCGCGGTTAGTCTGGTGTAGGAAGAAAGTATGAAGCAATACAGTGCATGCTTGATGCAATATGATCGCACGCTGATTGATCGGGGTATATCGCGGCAGTGAACCTCACTGGATCGCCAAGATAGATTACTTGACTGCGACATCCGATGATTGTGGCAACTTGGTGTTGAGTTCGCAAGAGCGGGGTTGCGCGTAGCCAATGTCGAGTCGCAATGAAGCATTGCTACTCACATTTATGGTGCGATTCGTACATATAAGGTCGCCTCATAGGTGATGTGATAGACTTCCAAATTGACGCTCCTCACCATCACCCTAAGTGATATCGTTGGATACCAACATGGCTCCCGCACTCATCGAAGAGGTCACCGAACAGACTACTGTCGGCTACAAGTCTGGAGTTGGTCAGTACAAAGAAGCTGCCTTTGGTGGCCCGAAGGTCTTCCAAAAGGAACTCGAGCTGCGCGGGACTGATAAGCATGCACCTGCCAAGTATCCGCACTACCTCCCGACTTGGGACAATGAGAAGGGCAGAAAGTGAGTATCGACATACCGTCAATGGTGCCGGAGACTAATCAGCGGCTCAGGTACCCACCATGGGAGCCATTCGAGCACACTGAACACGGAAAAGATGCCGACCCTTCGTTCCCTAACCTCTTGGCGAACGCGACTGTCGCCGACATTACAGCAAACATCGGCGCTGAAGTCCATGGTATCCAGCTAAGCAAGCTGACGGATGCCGGAAAAGATGAACTCGCACTGTTCGTCGCCCAGAAAAAGGTCGTAGCGTTCCGCGATCAGGACTTCGCAGACATCCCAATCAAAGACGCACTCGCTTTCGGTGGATACTTCGGTCGACACCATATCCATCCTACATCAGGTGCTCCTGAGGGCTATCCTCAGGTCCATCTCGTCCACCGAGGTACCGACGACACCACGGCGCGAGACTTCTTTGAAGAGCGGACGAACTCGATTACCTGGCATTCAGATGTGACGTATGAAAAGCAGCCACCCGGTACTACATTCCTGTATGTCCTTGATGGGCCAGCGGCGGGGGGTGATACTTTGTTCGCAAACCAAGCAGTAGCGTATAACAGACTCTCGCCAGAGTTCAGGAAGCGACTACACGGCTTGAAAGTCGTTCACTCAGGTAAGCCTCGACACCGAACAACAAGACATGTGAAGTGTTAACACCATCTCAGCCGTCGAGCAAGCCGACAACAGCAAGAACCGCGGCGGCATCGTGCGTCGCGACCCAGTAACCTCAATCCACCCGCTCGTGCGGACACATCCTGCGACAGGCGAGAAAGCGCTCTTCGTGAACCCGCAGTTCAGCCGACGCATCGTAGGCTTCAAGAAAGAGGAGTCGGACTTCTTACTCAACTTCCTGTACGATCATATCGCGAAAGGACAGGACTTCCAGGCACGCGTCAAGTGGGCGCCGGGTACGGTTGTGGTTTGGGATAATCGCGTTACGGCGCACAGTGCGTTGCTCGACTGGGATGATGGCGCGCGCAGGCATTTGGCGAGGATTACGCCGCAGGCTGAGGCGCCGTTTGAGACCGATGTGGAGGAAAAGAAGGCGGCTGGCTTTGAGTATTAGTTGAATCAGCGTAAGATGATAGATGAAGTTTTTGTTGCCCTCGAGAGTTGACATGTTGACAAAGGGCGAGGTTGGAAAAGGAAGGAGACACGCCAGATCGCATACGTCATAGTTGGCGCGGAGGAGAGCCCGCGAACGCGTACTTGCCCAGAACACCCCTATCAACGGAAAACCTAGGCCCGTACCTCTACAGAGTACAACTAAAATCAACTTTTGAAGCCTACATTACCTTTGTTTGTGAAAAACATATGTCTGGAAACCAAGGTAGGCTGCAATGCACCTGTCCAATTTCTCCCTTCAATAGGGCGAGAACATCATGAAGCTGTTAGAATAGAGAGAATATTATAAAATAAGCACAGCGATATATATTGGAATAGAGAATGAGATCGTATAACAAAGCCATAAATGAGAAAGATGCTGGCTCCGCATGACGCCGAAGCTTCACTCCAGGGTCGCTTTCGCGCATCCATAGCGCCAGTACGCCTTTTCCGATATCCACCCATCAAGCCCAGTAGCTCGAGTCAGAGCTCTGACTCTTCCGCTTCATGTCCAAGACTTCTCATAAGTAAACCTTCCTGGCATAGAAAACCAACGTCTGCCCTGACCACCATGCTGTTCTCAGGATCCATGTCTTCATCCGCGCTAGCCTTCGCCTCAAGATCCAGTGTCTCGGCCATCAGGCTACTGTCGTTGTTGAACTTTTGTGTGAGCCTGACTTGGCAGCCGATACAGAGCTTCAATCCGCATCCCTCAATCTCTTGGTCGAACAGTGAGATTTGGTGTGTGCGGCAGGTGAATGTGGCAGGGGTGAAGCACATCGAACACCAGCGCTGGAGTTGTTGCTGGACTCCTGTCGATGTCTCAGCAGAATCTAGGAGATCGGCGGCTGTCTGATCGAAATCTGGGGTCATGCCGTTGGGGAAGATGTGCTGAATTTCGTGTCCTCCGCAAGCCACAATCTGCACTCTGCCTGGTGGAATTGTTAGTAAAATTGATCGTGAATTACAAAAACCCTTTTGAAGAAAGCGAAAGATGTAGCTTACTCATCGTGCAATCCTGGCACATAGTCGCACCGCCGCTGCTGTTCTCCGCATGCCCGCCACCAACCTCAGTGTATCCCATCCCGTTATGCCATTCGATGACATGAACTTCCTTCTCGAACAGCCCAGTGAACCCAAAGTTGGGGATATCGCAAAAATTGCAGTCGCTAGTGGTTTTCTGCCCACCGAACTGAATAGGATGCGCGAAGCAGGTCTTAATCTTTGTCAGCTTGCCCTTGTGACCAGCCTCGTCTTCCATCTCGAGTTCGGGAGTCGGGGAGCGTGAGAACATCGGTACGTCTTCTCCGTATAAATCTTCAAGATCTTCTTTAGTAAAGTAATCGTGGTCAGGTACAGCAACTTCCGGTGCGTCTCCCTCAGTCGGTCCCAGCACCTTTTTCTTCTTCTCTTTGACGACCTTGGGTATATCCTGGAAGGTACAGCCAATGTGGTTCTTCTTGCAGCGCTTGCACGGCGGCTTATCGGTCTTCTTCTTGAGGCTACAGCGCTTCTTCTCCATGCGACAGTGCGTGCATTGTATGTGGGGCCGGTTCTCGGTATAGATGATTTCATCTATGCTAATCCGTTCAGCGCGGTAGCCCACTGGCGGAAGTGCTTCGCATATGTACTCGTTGTCGGCGCAATGGTCGCAAATGGCTTGACGCGGCTCATCTTCGAAAGAACAGCGCTCGTTGTTGTCTTCGACACATTGCTTGCAGCGGCCTTTCTCGGTAGGCGAGATGATAGGTTCGCACTCCTGTGCCATGTCGAAGCATTCCTGGCAAGGGTACTGACCACCTGCTACTAGAGAGCAATCTGTTTCGTTGTTGCGACAAGATGTGCAGCCTCGCGCTGCTGGATGGCCTGTCAGATCGTCGACCTCGGAACGGGGATCTTCAATGGGTTGCTGCATGGAGCGATCGGGGGTCTTGCGGCGGAAGAAGTCTCGATACTCTTGCAGTTTATGCTCAGCTTCAGAATCAATGTCCTCCCAGTCTTCTGGCCAGTTATCCTCCTCGTTGGTGACGTTCCTCACATTGCCGAAGTTTTCGAAGCGCAGTCTGACAATGCACTTCATGATATTCTCTTTCGAGGCGCGCTGCTTCCCCTTCTTGAAACGATGGGCGGCTTTGGCGGCTTTGGCAGCCTTCGCTTGCTTCAATTTCAGTGCCTTGTTCTGTGTCTCTTGCGCGGGATCAAAGTTGCCCGACGCATCCTGATCGACATAAGTGTAAGTCTTCTTTCGGTCGATACCTTGTCGCAATCCATAGGCCGGCTGGTAAAGTAAGTACTTGACTGTGACAGTGGTAATAGAATGAACAGTCTCACCTGCGTATCTGGAGGAATGACGATTTCGCCGTCAGATGGCGCTGGAGATCCTCTTGAAGACATGCCTTCTCTGTCGGAGTCTCCGGGTTGCTCAAAGCCAAGGTTGAATTGTTGCTCGAACGGACTGACTTCTCTCTCTTGTTGGTCGAGATTAAGACTAGACATGCGATTGCCGATGCTATGTCTGGGCATCTCCGTCTCAGGTAAGTCTACTTCCTCATCTACAAGGGGATCGTCAGGCTGTTCTTCGAAAAGATCGTCGAAATGGTCTTCTTCGACTTCCTCTGCCAAGCCCCCGAAAAGTGACTGGCGCGGTTTCTTGCTCCTAGGACTGGCTTCATCGTCGCCATCGTCGGTTCTCGGCGACTTCTTACTTTTGGGCGAAGACCTCCGAGCTCGATGAGCGGTCCAAGAGCGGTCGAATGCCTTGGGAGCATCCTCATCGTCGGAGAAACCTTCCTCCAGCGTGTTGTAGTTCATGTCGTGTTGGGCTGCGTTCTGTCGAGGTGGATCCAGGTCAAGATCTCGCTGCACCGCTTGCTGAACATCTTCCATTGGCTCATCATCATCATGACCTCCGTCGCTTCTAGATCGCACTACATCATCAGGATGAGCGTTGTGCGCAATTGTCTCTGGTTCGGCGTCAAGACCATGCGGTAGATTGAAGTCGAACTCGACCTCAGGACGAGCTGGCATGCCATCGTCTTCCATGCTGGTTGAAGATCTGTGCGCCGAGTGGTGATGAAGGAAGCGTCGAGGTTTTGATAGTTAAGTCGAAATGGTACAGTGATAGGATAAGTCCATCCGAAGTGCGGGGCTGGTGATAGAAGCACGTGTGTGGAATTTCGTAGCCAACATAAGGACGGGGGTGCGTCAGTGATAGACACGCTGGCGCTTGAGAAGGCTGAGAGGTGAGTCTAAGCGCGCCAGAGTTTAGCAAACGTCAATGGTCTTGTTATGACCAAATCAATTACAGCGAAAGAACCGGGGTGAAAACGAGAAATGATTTGTCGCTCAGCAGCAGAAGTAGATCTCAAGGAGGCCAACTGAGGGTCTGATAACTTCAGCTGAACGGAAAGCTGAAGGAAATATGGAAGGAAGTGATAGCGGACCGGAAGTTTAGCGAAGAGAATGTTTGGCTGGAGGTGTTATGACATAGCGGTGGAAGAGTCGGTGTGAGCGAAGTGAGAGACATGTCCAAGAGCGAACAGCCGGGTGGGGTCGGTTCGTTGTAGTTCAAGGCGGAGAACCTCATTTCTCCGCAAGGCGCCAATGGAGGAAATCCAGGTATCAAAACAATAACGACCAGAAGGTTAATATGTTGGTGAGCCCAATAGTGCTCCTCAAAGTGAACTGATTTGGATGTGCGCAATTCTGCTGGGCTATGGCGCGTGTTCTCCGTCTGTTTTCAACGAGAAGATTCGGAAAACCTATGATTCGAAAGATGTAGAGGAGAGCTCTAGTTTGTTGTTCGTATAGCGTAACATTCTCCAGCGAAGGTTTTGACATTGCGACAGATCCACGGATGTGAACTTCTGCCCTATCGTAACAGTACCAACCTGTCTGTCAGTTTGTACCCGAAGACGAGATGTGATGCGATAAAATGCAATGATAATTCTCCAGCAACGAGTGTTCATTGGAGGGTACGATCTGTAATCTTTATCATAGACTGCCCGTTGGTCATGACCTGCTTGTGTCCGTAAGGGCGATTGCGACTACCTAGGTAGGGCGTACATACGGGTATCCAGAATTGAGCAGAGCTAGGTATACTTGTGAGTATAGTGATGCGTAACCATCGCGTTATCCAAAGGGTAACGTAGCTGCCCCATGGTGCTGTCTCCGCTGGAATTAGCTCACGATAATCTGCTGTAGAGAGCTGGCTCACTTAGTCATCACGGCGCTAACACGGACCATGTCATCCAAAATGACGCGCGCAATTTCTTAGAGCTCTGCCATTCTCTACCCGCCTCACTCATCCATGAAGCTCGACAGCGCTTCATACCGCCCTATGTGGGCACCATGGCGCGATCGATGAGGCTGTTTCTGATCCGGCATGGGGAGACAGTCGACAATGTCGCCCAACTCTAGTAAGCTTTCCGTATGTCGTCATCGGCGTTCGTTGCTAATTATTACAGTGCCGGTAGCAGAGATTCAGCGCTCACCAACCACGGCTACCAACAGGCCACCCGCCTTGGACAGCACTTCAGGTCCCAGGGGTTGACATTCACCCACCTCTTCTCGTCGCACCTTCAGCGGGCTGTGAAAACAGCTGGCAAGATCCGAGAGGCTCAATTGACGCCCGCAAGCGACGATAACACTGCGAAAGCGGTTCCGGATGTCGTGCAGCTACGGGCGTTGATGGAGCAGGACTTCGGATCGAAGGAAGGGAAGAAGTTCCACGATCGACTTGACAACAAGGATACACCAGGCTTCGTGGAAGTGGAGTCGAAAGAGATCATGGCGCACAGAGCCGACTCATTCCTCGATGAGCATCTCTTGCCGCTCCTCGGCGAAGCGTCGAAAGACGCTGATACCGTGGTTGCGATAGTCTCGCATGGCATTTTCCTCTCCACTCTTTGGAAGCGACTGCTTTTGCGCCTTCCGCACAAGAGTGTTGCGCTCTCTCCAGAG